ACGCTGCAGTCAGGGGTGAGCCAGTTCAGAGGGTGGAGGGCCAGGGAGATGTGTTCCTGGCCATCTGAGTTGCCAAGCAGGGGGATGCTTCCTTTGCACCCCGAAGCATTTTCAGGGCATGGGGCTTCATTCCTCGTTATAACGAGCTGCAAGAGCCTAACCTGGAGATCACGAATATGCAGATCACGGTCGCCAGGCTAGTGTTTGATTGGCTGGACTGCGGTCTTCTGGCCAGTCAAAGAGGGAAGTTGGAGCTTTTCTCCCTCCAGGACTATTTTGGCACCTAGTAGCACTTAGGAGTCCAGAAGGACCCCGGGCTGTGGACTCACTTAACATGAGGGCAAATGCCCTTAAAAGAGAGGAAGTCGGTTCTCCGGAGCATTTCCCTCTTCCCACCAGCATCACCACAGTCATTTAGCTTTAGCTGGCCGCTCTTTCTCCGGGAGCTGACTTTGGCCAGGCACTGAGGGAGCTGGGTGAAGATGCCGTTTGCGTTTGGTGTGAAGTAGCTGTACAGCTGGGTATCATCTCCGTGCCACAGGCACTCCGGCCCCTGTTGTCTCCCCAACACTTCCAACAGCTTCATGGAGATGTTGAGTCGTGTGTGGAAGAGGCTTGAGCCTGGTAATGCACTGCAAGTGAGAGGTATGGAGGCACATGCACCTATGCCCATAGCAGCCCTCCGAGTTATCTGGGAGAAAGTCCCTGATTAGGTCATTTCCATTCACTCTAGACCTTCTTGAAGATGAGGCAGAAGTATTTGCTGATCATTGGTATCAAATGCTACAGCGGCCCAGCAGAATGAGTACGGATGGACTTCCCTTTTCGCTGGACAGTGGGTGGACATCTGTCAGAACCAAGAGTCTCAGTACCATTCCCTGGCCCAAAGCCAGGCCGAGCGGATTCCAGGATACTGGCAGCTGACCTAACAACATACCTGTTTAACATCCTTTTAACACCAAAACGGGGCTGGAAAGTACTACGCATGGGTATGTGGACGTAGCCAAGCTAATGCTGCCGCCGAGACTTTAACTGCTGCCTTCCCTGACTTGTGACTCTACTGCCTTAAAGTATCATCACCTTATTTTTTTCCATTTGATTTCCAAACGAAGGGAATAGTCCCCTAGGTGCGTTTCTCATCAATGCATTGCTGGTGCCTCGGCAAAGTACTTTGTTCCTTTATCTGCGTCGGAAACACATCCGCACTTCTGGGAGTGCACACGGAACTGAAGTTCCGGGCCAGTGCTTATAGCATCTCCACTGTTGCCTTTATTGGAGTCATGCAGGGCTGCGCTGGCCTCAGGGCTCCCCGTCCCCCCGTGCCAGAGATCCCCAGTCAGTTATTTCCAGTCTCCCAAGGTCTAACCAGGGAAGAGTGGGCCCAACAGTACATGGCAATAAAATGTACCCAGGGCACCCATGATCCTTTACACAGCAGTTTTACCCCTATCATCTGCTAAAGGTCTCTGGAAAGAGACCTGTCACTGCATGGACTTCCGGTGCTATGAATTCATTCTTTCCTCCGTCAAACAGCATCACTTCTCCACTGGCTCCTCGGCTCCCACACCAGCAATACTAGCCACCTCTTTGCCATCCTTAATCCACTCCTACTGCCTTCCCTCTCCCACCCTAGTGCCTGCCTGCCTCGCCTCGCAGGTGGGACTGGTCGGCTGTGTAGGGGGGAGTATGCTGTAGCCCTTACAGGGGTGTCAAACTGTTCTTCCTCAGTGGCGGCAGGGAGCCCCAGGAGACCTGAGTGCCCCCTGGAGGTCCCCTGAGGCAATGCAGGTCCACACTTACTGCAGGGCTGTGCGTGCAATGCACAATTTAGCCCAGTGGTTCTCAACCAGGGGTATGCATATCCCTGGGGTAGGCAGAGGTCTTCCAGGGGGCACATCAACTCATCTAGAGATTTGCCTAGTTTTACAACAGGCTACAGAAAAAGCACTAGCCAAGTCAGTACAAACTACAATTTCATACAGACAATGACTTGTTTATACTGCTCCATATACGATACACTGAAATGCAAGTACAATATTTACATTCCAATTGATTTATTTGATAACTAGATGGTAAAAATGAGAAAGTCAGCAATTGTTCAGTACGAGTGCGGCTGAGACACTTTTGTATTGTTATGTCTGATTTTGTAAGCAAGTCGTTTTTAAGTGAGGTGAAACCTGGGGTACGCAAGACAGATCAGACTCCTGAAAGGGGGGTACAGTCGTCTGGAAAGGTTGAGAGCCACTGATCTAACCCATAAATTGCTGTCCCTAGAAATCCCCCTCTGTGTAGAGGGTGAAATTCATCCTTCCCGCATAAAGCCCATTGTCTGGGGCATTGTGCAGAGAGCTAAATGGCGCTATGAATTCACACCCCAAGCCCACGTAAGCGGAAACCACGGCTCCTCCCGACTCACTGTTCCATCCACCAGGTTCGGCTAGCAGCTGCTGCCACTTTGTGCATCTTCTGCGAGCAGAGCCATTTGACCCGGGTAGGCCAGGATCCTGGCCGGTTGCGCCGTCTTCAGCAACTACCTCTGCACTGGTCTGAATCGGCTGCAGCACACTCCCTGCCATGCCTGTTCCACCGATTCACCCAGCTCTGCATCCTCACCCTGGGGTTGAAGTGGTGCATTTAGCTTTACACAAGGTGAATTTCCCTTCCTGTGCCACCCTGACCTAACTGTGGGGGGGTGTTAACAGAGCAGAGAATTAGGTCATGTGGGTGAGTCTATGACAATCTCTAGGTATATATCTCCCTTACCTATGTCTTTTAGCGAGGTAATTCTCAGGCCCCTCTGGCTGTGATATTTAATACTGATCTGTGAAACTGCACTACATGGATGTGTAGAAAACTTTTCATTCCGTATCAGAGGGGGAAAAATAGAAAGAAAAGCTCTAGCCGAACCAGCCAGATCAGAGTTAATCCTGGTATCAAAATGGCGGCTGTCACTTCTCCTGTACAATGAGAGGAAAGGCTATTCTATCCTTGTTGAGTAGCTTCCCCCTGTTATAATGCTCTACTTTGTGTTTCAGTGAAAGAAGAAATGGTGAAGTTGCTAATAATGGCACTAAAAGAAAATATGCTACATCTGTTATGGATAGCAGTACAAACTTAGCTGATCACACCTCTGACACCCAAGATGTCTTCACTTAAAATACTCGCTGGCTTACTTTACATAATTTGCTGATTATATTTAAAAGAAATACAATTTTGCAATTACTGTTCTTTCTGGTGTGCTATCTATGCATCATTTTCTTTTTATGTTTATATATTTCTCCTTCATTAGTGCAGTCTGAAGGGTGATTAGATCCCTTCAAACATTTTACAGAGGTTAAACGTTGATTAAGATTTAATTATTACTGTAAATAGCTTGGAATGACATATGGTGCAAAAACCTGACATATGTGCATTTGAATAAATGAAGTGCTATTTCCCATGATGCCTCAGTAGCTGTTTAACAGCTTTGCTGAAGGGTTATGTTGCACCTCATGTTAAGATTGCTTTGATGTTATATTTTGTTGGGTTTTTGCAGCTGAAAGCTAAGAACAGTTTTTCCAGTTTTTAAAAACATTGAATATTTTAAATACCTAAATTGTTTTGCACAAATTTTTGCTAATTTGTCTAACTAGGTTAAACATTTTCAAAAGCATTTAGATTTTAACGTGGGTTCCTAGCATTGTCAGCTTCAGCTCTGATTAAATGTATAGGATTTTTTAAAATATGATACTGTCAGGTGCAGGGTCCTGTTTCTGGGGGGATCCTGGTCTGGATTGGACAATAAGAATTCCTCCCACCCCAGTCTCGTCCTCCAAATACAGAGGTGCCGACTATTTTTGGATCACAGAAAAGCTTTTTTGTAAGTCTGATTGGAAAAAGTAAAGGAGATTTCACATAGAGAAAAAGTGCAGTGGGGAATGGAACAATGCTGCCTTTAAAATATACAGCATAGAAGATCCACTGATGAACTTTTCAAAGATTTATATAGTATATCATTTCGTCTGTTATATAGTGTATTATGTTATTTAACACGTCTTTATAGTGCCATAGGTGTGCATAGTGCTTTACAGAGAGAAGGAATCGTAGAATCGTAGGACTGGAAGAGACCTCCAGAGGTTATCTAGTCCAGTCCCCTGCACTAATGGCAGGACTAAGGAAGACATGGGGTGAAATCCTGGTCTTACTGAAATCAACTGGACTTTTGCCACCAACTTCAGCAAGGCCAACTTCACCGCTAGTCCCCCTCCTGAGACTTTAGGGCCCTGATCCTGGAATTGGATCTGAACATGCAGACTCTTGGTCCCACAAGGAGCGCCTCATTGACTTCACTGGGTCGTGGCACAGTCAAAAGGGTGGTGGTAGGCCGCTCTATACCTTTGTGAATCCCACCCAAAGCATCCATCCATGTGGATCCAATTGCAGGATTGGGGACTAGATTGGATCTGACAGGAAGGAAAGAGAGGTGGCATCAGGCAAGGGAAAGGGAAATGTATGTAAAATAAGACAATAGAGTTTCTTTTTTAAAAAAAATGTGTTGTTTGGCTGTTTAAATTAATATAGAATTTCAAAGGTTGGAAAGGGAGGGAATATGAGTCATTTCACATAACATAATTCAATATAAGCTGGCGTGATATGAGCACAATCATGGGAAAGCAATTTGAGATGACAGGTGAAAGGCATTACTGAATTGCCAAGCACTGTTATTACTGCTTGTTACTACAGCCGCACTCCTGCAGTTCACAGCAGAGGAACTCCATTGGGCCTTCTATAACTCTCCACTGAGTCCTGCAGCGGTTACACCAGATTTGCATAGTTAGGAGACCAGAGTCGGGCTCATTGACTTCAATGGAGTTACCCCTGATTTACACCAGCATATGTAAAATCAGAAAAGTCAGCTAAAGTCTTGCTTCTGTTTATTTATGTTATTGATGTATCATGCTCCCGTTGCTGTCAGACAATATTAGCCCAATTCTAATCTTACCTCCTCTTTGATTTGGCAGATTGAGACATCTCGACTGGAGCCAGAAATTGCAATGGCCACTACCGGTAAGGCTGTTGTCTACAATAAAGGATTGTAAGTGGAAGAGGATCCTCTGAGCACAGAAGATTGGGGGAGGAAAAGGGGAAGCTCACAATTACTTCTGGGGGGGAAAAACAAACGCTAGAACTCAGAGATAGTAACATACCACTCTCAGGAGCTGGGAGTGAATTAACACTTTCAGAATACTGACACCTCACATCAGTCAAAAAGATTACTAGTAAAAGTTTTAAATTAGCAACAAGAACAAAAACAAATGACTTTCAAGCACGTTAGAGAACTAGCTACAATATAATGTCCTGAATTAGAAACAGCTCTGCATGGAAAGGAGTTTAATGATCTGTTGACATGGGTATGCCTAACTCTCCGTGAAAGTAGACTACGCAAGACAATTTTGTTTTTTTAATAAGAATGAAATCTCAACACTTGGATGCTGCACAGAAATAATTCTGTAGAAATCGATTGGTGCATGAGTTAGAAGCGCTAGACAGGGCATTTGATAAGTGTACAGTATTGATTAAATGTCAATCTTGCGCCAGTAATCATGCACAAAAACAATGTTCCTTGGTTAGGTTTGTGACACTTTGATTCTAAACAAATAACACAATGAAGGTCATAGCCTGTGTGCCCTCCCTCCCTCTCCAACAAACAACTAGGGTGGTATCCTGGCATTCATTGGTCTTACAAGATATTCTGTGTGATTGGAGCCTAATGCACTAGCATATTTGCAGGTTTTGCCCAGGCTAGCAAGCTAACGAAAAGTCAACCTGCCAAGTTACAGTGCACAGAATGGGACGAGATCTGCTAGTATAAACAGATCTGTCCTTTAACTTTGCATAATGGACCAAATTCTGTTCTCATGTACATTGACATACCCCTAGAGTAAATTCACTGGCTTCTGTTAAATTACACGGCTATAAATGAGAGCAGAATTAGCCTAATGGTGAAGGGCCAGATCCTCGGCAGGTGTAAACCATCAGACTCCATCTATTTCAGTGGAACTCTGTTGATTGACACTGTCAGAGAATCTGACTTGTCATATAGACCACATTCTAATCGCTCACACCAGAGTAATTCCGCTGCAGCCAGTGGCGTTACTGCCGATTTAGGCTGGTGTTACAGAGCTTAGAATTTGTCCCATTGCTGCATTTCACCAATGAATACAATGAGAATGAAAGGATCTTTCTCCAGGTACGATGGTAATGGGTACTATAGAAATACACATATTATAATGATTAAAATGCCAGGTTGGATTTGGGGCTTTTGGGGGGTGCATGGGAAACCAAACTGCCTCTGCTGTAGAATGTATACAAATGGGTTCTTGCAATGGTTCATGGGTAGCAGGCCGATGTCACCAATGTGTTACTCCAGTTTTATGCTCGTCTGACTCCTCGCTGGAGTTACACAGTAGTGGATCAAACCAAAGGGGGCTGATTCTGCTCCCATGCTGGTATAAATCAGGAGTAACTGCGCGGAAGTCAGTGGAGTTACACCAGTGTCTAAAACCAGCCTAAGTGAGAGGAGAATCCGTCTCAAAGCATTGTAGCCATACTTAGCTTAGTGGGCCAAATCATGTTCTCAGTTACGCTGGTGTAAATCCGGCGTATTTTCACTTAAGTCTACGGCCCTATTCTGGATTTACCCCAGGTGTAACAGACAGCAGAATTTAACCCAATATAGTTCTTCTAATGCACTAGATCACATGACTGTACATGAGCGAGGCAGCCAGTGTCTGCTGAGCAATAGCCAAGCAGAAGGAGTTTAGAAGGAGACAGACGGGAATAAATGTGCTGTACCAAGGCACAGAAGTACAAGAAATAGCAAGACTGGACTCTGACGGGTGCAGGAAACGATGGGGGAAGTGTATATTCTGAAGCACGTTCCACCAATGCACAGATGGAACGTGGAAATGTTGGGCTGGTGCGCCTCTTACACAATTGTTTTACCCCAAAGCGACTCCATCCTCACCAACGGAGCTGCCCCTTGTGCTCACCTACATGGGAGGAGAGTCGAGCCCAGGGGCATTAGAATGGTGTATCCTGGGTGCGAGGGAGTCAGGCCTGCAAAGTCCCGTTCTGCCAGTCACATGCTGCAGGGACACACAGGGCCAGATCCTCAGCCGGTGTAAATTGAGATCAGTGGCATTATCTTGATTTATACCATATGAGGACCAGAAGAACTGATCCTTCACTGTCTTGTGCCTTGTGTCGGTCACACCTGCACTTGCACTGGGGGTCTGAGCCAGAGACCATTCAGGTCAATGCCGTACTTTTCACTGGCTCCAGCAGGCTTTGGACCAGGCCCAAAGCGAGTGCCAGAGCCCTACCTTTTTAGTGCGGTAACATTGTACATCCACTTTGCACCGGTATCTAAAATGACACAAAGGGCAATCCAGCACAGAATCAGGCCCATTGATTCCAAGCAGTGTGTAGGTGGGTTATGTGGCTCACACCAGCAATGAAACCAAAAAGCCAGGCCTACCACTGCAGCTAGGTAAGAAATGGAGCACACAAAGAGGTGAAGCATAAAAATGCCACTGAGAAACGCACACCGCTTTGGACAAAAACACAGATCACAGAATTAGCAAAAGAAAACCAGGACTTTTCATTGCTGCGCTGGTTGGGTGAAAGATAAAAGCCAAATTAAAATAAACCTGAACCCCACTACTGATGGAGACACACATACACGTATATATGTGGTGGAGAAAAACTAGTATTAAAAATGTGCCAAATGTGTAACAGCTAAACTGGGTTTAAAGTGAAGGTGAATAATCTCATGTTCCTAATGAATGCAGCAACCAATTGGATCTCCTTGTATACAGCACAACCTGTGTGCTGTATTGTTCAGAACTGAAATCCAAGTGGTGAACAAAATCAACTGCTCGTATTAACAATGAGCAATGTCCTGGCTCTGTTTTCTATCAGCATCGCTCCATTTTCCGTGTCATGGTGTTTTGTCACCCTTCGAAGCACTCTGTTGAAATCCTGCCAAACTCTTAAGGGAGGGGTTGACTGAGTCATTTGAGGGTGTGGAGGAGGTAGAAGTGAGTAGCGATGTCACTGCTGGGGAGGGGGGATGATTTGGTTTTACATCATAATTACTGATCAAAGATTCCACTAGCTGTGAACTCTAGCTACCTGCCGGGGCTACAGATGGAGTGAGTAATTTTCAACATGCAGAGCTAATTACAATGGCTGGTAAAAAAAAAAAATTCAAGGATTTGCTCACTGCATTTTTTTGACAGAGATACCGTGGGGGGGGGGAAACAAGCTTTGCAAATGTTTAGTTTGTACTTTTTTTTTTTTTAGTTATTTTTTTCCCAAGGAGGATGAGAGACTGCAAATTGTTTCACTCCACTCATAAACTTTGACTGCAGAGTGTTTAAGACAGTGCTTTGCAGGTCATTAATTAGCAGGGGAACTAATCCATAGATTTATTATAAGGGTTGGATGTTTTAGAAGAGAGTGGAGTGGGGGAGTTAACAGGCCCTAATCTTAAATTGCAACTAGAGGGCCTGCTTCTTATTTCACACTTGCATGAATAAGGCGTAGCTCTGTTGAAATCAAAAGAGTCCCATGGTAGGACAGGTATAAAAGGGATCAAAATTAGGTGCATCACAAGGTTCCAGTTTTGTTTTCTTCTAATGAAGCCATATCAAATGTGCTCACTTTATATGTCAAAATATGGGGCCACATTGGGGTCATTGTTGCTGTCCTGGTTTATACCAGCTGGAGATCTGGCCTGTGATTTTTCTGTCTTTCATTTCTGCAACTTTGGCCTGAGATCGAAAAGGCAAAGCTGGGGGCAGAGGGTTGTTCTAGGTGTTATGTCAGTGGACAGTGCCCCTAGCACAATGTGTCCTGGTCCATGACTAGGCTCCTAGATGCTGCAATAATAAGATTTAAGATTAGGACCTGTTAACTCCCCCACTCCACTCTCGTCTAAAACATCCAACCCTTATAATACATCTACAGATTAGTTCCCCTGCTAATTAATGACCTGCAAAGCACGGATCTTAAAAATGATACAAATAATAATAATAATTAATAAAAATTCTGCAGTCAGGACCTACAAACTCTCTGTTAATGGCGCGTGACCCTGGAGGGAGTCCAGCTTACTCTCCCATAACTGCAGTGCTAAGAGGAGCAAACAATTGGACAGTGTCCCTTTAGCAGGGGTTAGGCACTAACAATGATCCCCCTTTTCCTCACCTTACTAAAATCAAACTCAGAAATGTCTTCTTTTGTCCTCATCACGCCAAGCACCTGCAGCTCCCATTACCTTTAACTGGAGCTACAGGTGCCCAGCACCTCTCTGAGCATGGCCCACAATAGATACCTTTTGGTTTCAGAAGAAAGAGGTAACAATTTGAGACTAGCCTGAACCAAAATCTCGGATCCAAACGTCCCTGAATTTTGTAACTGTAGTCATGTAACTGGTATGTCTTGTTTTCTATGTACACGATAAGAACAAAAGAACGGCCATACTAGGTCAGACCAAAGGTTCATCTAGCCCAGTAGCCTGTGTTTTGACAGTGGCCAATGCCAGGTGCCCCAGAGAGAATGAACAAAACAGGGCAATCAAGTGATCCATCCTCTGCTGTCCACTCCCAGCTTCTGGCAGTCAGAGATTTAGGGACACCCAGAGCATGGGGTTGCATCAATGACCATCTTGGCTAGTAGCCATTGCTGGACCTACCCTCCATGAAATGATCTAATTCTTTTTTTACCCCTGTTATAATTTTGGCCTTCACAACATCCCCTGGCAATGAGTTCCACAGGTTGACTGTGCGTTGTCTGAAGAAGTACTTCCTTATGTTAGTTTTAAACCAGTTGTCTATTAATTTCATTGAGTGACCCCTGGTTCTTGTGTTATGTGAAGGGGTAAATAACACTTCCCTAGTCACTTTCTCAGCATAACTTGTGATTTTACAGTCCTTTATCATACCACCTTCTTACTTTTTTCTCTTCTAAGATGAATAGTCCCAGTCTTTTTAATCTCTCCTCATATGAAAGCTGTTCCATTCCCCTGATCATTTTTGTTGCATTTCTCTGTACCTTTTCAGATGTCTTGCATCTGAAGAAGTGAGGTTCTTACCCACGAAAGCTTATGCTCCCAATACTTCTGTTAGTCTCTAAGGTGCCACAGGACCCTCTGTTGCTTTTTACAGATTCAGACTAACACGGCTCCCCCTCTGATACTCTGTACCTTTTCTAATTCCAATAGATCTTTTTTGAGATGGGTGACCAGAACTGCACACAGTATTCAAGGTGTAGGTGTACAGGGATTTATAAAGTGACATTATGATATTTTCTGTCTTATTATCTATCCCTTTCCTGATGGTTTCTAACATTCTGTTCGCTTTTATGACTGTCCTTGCATTACTTTGTGCTTATCGACATTGAACTTCATCTGCTATTTTGTTGCCCAGTTTTGTGAGATCCCTCTGTCACTCTTGGCAGTCAGGTGTGTGGTCTTAACCATCTTGAATAATTCCCTATCGTTTGCAAATTTTGCAGATCGTTTCGTTCCAGTACAGATCTTTGGGGGACCCTGCCGTTTACTGCTCTCCATTGTGAAAACTGTCCATTTATTCCTACCCTTTGTTTCCTGTCTTTAACCAGTTACTGATCCATGAGGGGACCTTCCCTCTTATCTCATGACTGCTTACTTTGCTTAAGAGTCATTGATGTGGGACCTTGTCAAAATCTTTCTGGAAGTCCAAGTACACTGTATAAACTGGATCACCCTTGTCCACATGCTTGTTGACACCCTCAGAGAATTCTAATAGATTGGTGGGGCATGATTTCTCAGCTGTGTTGACTCGTCCCAACATATCGTGTTCATTTATGTGTCATCTTTAAATGGCTAAGGCATTTACCTCACTCTCTGCGGTAAAGCCGTCCATTTTGTGATGTGTGGGGGATGAAGCATGTGAGGGAGGACACACACACACACACACACACACACACTGTGCTCTCTTTGAGAGAATTTAATTTTGTTTTCTTGTTTCCTTGTCTTACCCCATCACCAGATTCCTGTTCTGTGTTTTTCCTACACAAAGATCAATCGTGCACTTTCATTCTGAATGACAATTATTATATATTAAGGGAAATAACAGAATAAGAAAGAACAAAAGTAAAGGCTCAGTGAGAGAGCAAAGTGTGTGCATGTCCTATGTAATACATTATGTGCACCCTGCTTCATGAAACAAACAGCTGCACAGGAGGTAGACTCCTTAAAATTTTAAAGGTCCAGGTCCCTGAAAACCATCCTAATAGAACATGAGGCTACCTGGAGTAGCTGCCGTCCTTGAAGTTCCGGTGAAGTATTCACAGTTTTCCACAAAGCACAGAAGTGGATCATCTCAGTTCTGCCCTTGAGCCATTCTCCTTTTATCCAGTTGAGGTAGCAGCAGAATCCAAGAACGCTTTCTGCTGGCATCAAAACAATCGTGTTACCCCTTTGCACACTCAGTGGTGGAGATTAAAAAACAAAAAGAGTGGGGGAGACATTAGATCATCACAGGAACAATTTCTCCCTGGTTTTTGGGGGTGGGTGCAGGGAGGAATTCTTCTCCAATCTTGTGGACAAAGCGTCGGTGGCTGCTGGCCACGTTTCTAGATTTAGAGTCCCATTGTCTGTTAGAAATGTAGCAGCACAGGTCTTCTATTCATAGATCCCAGGCCAGAAGGGACCATTGTGATCATATAGTCTGACCTCCTGCATAACGTAGTCCAGAGACCTGTCCCATACTAATTCCTAGAACGGATCTTTTAGAAAAACATCCAATCTTGATTTAAAAATTGTCAGTGATGGAGAATCCACCATGAACCTTGGTAAATTGTTTCAATGCTCACCTGATGTACCATGTTCCAAAGGTCAACTGTTGTACAGGTGACATAGGCAGGTGATTCTAGAAATCATCCTAAGGGGCTAGCAGGAAGTGCGCCTGCGAAAGTAACTGCATCCTTTTCTGCCATGGACCTCTTGCTTCCCAAAGATGGAGGGCAAGTTTTACTGGCTCGCTCCAGCTGTTCTGCATCGCTTGTGCCACTCAAAGCAACCAGTGTATCTGGCCTGGAATATTTAGGGCTTTATTTTGCCCTTGATACGCATGTGTAACCTCCACGGACATGGTCAGGAGATCCACCTCGGATTGAGAGTGCTACATGGTGATAACCCATAGTGAAAACAGGAGGTGGAACATACTCGACTCCCCTTTATCACTTGGAATGATAGTAGTATAGAAGAGGGCAGGGAGTGAAGAAAATAGGTGTCTCTCTCTTACCAGACTCCTTTTTAGCACTGTTTTGCATGCTGAATCCTTTTCAGTCCCCTTCCTGTCATCCATCTGTCTCCTCTCGCCTTTGTATTTCTTCCCCACCCACCTGGTCATCTCCCCGCTCCATTTCTTCTTGTTGGGCCATTCTCACTTCTCCCCCTTTTAATCCCTATAAGTGCTTCCCTGGTTTCTCCTCTGTCTCTGATCAGCCTTTCCCTGAATGGTTTGGAGCAGATGCTATGGGAAAGCAGAATCAGAGACGGGAATGACCTATTGGCTTGTCATGTCCATCCTGTTTCCATTACAAGATTAGTCTTTGTGATATCTTCTACTGGCAATGATTGCTGATCCAGGAACTTCTCACCCTGTTGTCAATTGGGAATAGCACCGTTTACATTAGTGGCATTCCACCAGCGTAGAACTGGCATTAGGTGGGAAAGGGATCTACACAAAGACTCTGC